TCTTAATTTCACAAAGTCCTGAGCATACATGTCAAATGTGTGATGACCTCGGCTCTATTAGGTTCCTTGCGGCCCGTTTCATACACGCCTTATGGCTAATGCACAATGAAGATTGATTTTACAATACGATATAAAGGTTGAGTCTACAAGACCGTACAAAGGGACACAATCACGTGAACAGTTTTATCAGTTTTTTAGCATTGGCGCTTGTGTGCGCACATATACCGTTACAAATAAATGTTCACGTTAAAGGAAAGGATTTTGACAGGTTTCTGGACGTTCCGGATGAGAATGTTGGCAAGCTCACAGATCAAAGGACAGACCTGATTATTTCATTTTCTGCAGAGTCATTAGAGAATTGGATAGGTCTGTATTCGCTAAACTAATCAGTAAAATAAAGCATTTATCGTCTGGCTATTTCGTGTGATAGCACATTTCTCAGTACCTCAGAGCTGCCAAACGTGCTATAACCTTCATAACAATGTGATTCGGTGTAGCCATTGTGCCGTAAATGACTACATCAGAGAAAGAAGGTACAATGAAGTAATATATGGTCGAAGGGATATAAGTCTGTTAAAGAACGTTGAATGAGACGGATCGACAGACCCGTTTGTTGATTCCTCACACAGTTCACACAGCCAAGCGAGTTAAGACATTACATTGTACACCTCCTACAGAATCCTGCTGATTTTATTGTTCCAGGGCTTATATTATCTTCTATCATGTTAACACTTATATGTTGCTGAACACACGTGAATGGTCGTAGAGCTTATACAATTATAGGAGTTCAGATAAATAAGATAAAAGTGACACTATAATGTGGAGATTTTCAGAATGGAGCTGCTTTCTCAATACCCCGTTGTTGTGATGGTATGTATCCGGTATTCCAAGGCGCCTACTACGGTAGATATATCACTGTGAATAACAGCTTTGAATGGCAAATGGCAAACCAAATCCAGCAACTTATGTGAAATCAGTTTTCGATATGACCATTATAAGCTAGGATCATCTCTGAACAGTATCACGTGTGTTTAAAAACAATACACTAACTTCCTTTATTTAGATATCACTGTCTCTACACTACAAAACCGATGCAAAAATACATTCTGCAATGATACATGTACTACGTTTCTCGTCGTTGGTGTAAAGTATTCAGCTTTCCATCTTGATATTTACATAGAGTACGTCAACAATGGTCCCCTCACTGCCAAAACATTTTAAAACATTACGATTTTCCTTTAAAAACGTTTGATGATTTGTGTTTATGGAGTTTGCATGTGATGTTATAACTAAGACACGGATTTGATTTTGAAAAGATGCGTCTCGTTGACCAATACATTTCTTGTGAGGCTTTTATAGCAAACACGCATTTAAAAAATGTGTCAAAAACATCGATGCCTGTTGTTTGAAGAATATTGTTACAAGATTTTTTGAAAATGACCAATTCGGCGGCCATGTTGAAAATGTTTATTTTTTGCCCTTCACGAAAGGCCAAATTTCACCTTTTTCGACACTAGACTGATCCCTTAAATAATCATTGTGTCGCCATTTTTAATAGCAGCTAGTTATTTTTTTCTATACAACTTTATGTTTAATATCATGACAATGATATGCAAAACAGTGGAAATGTATACATCATGAGTATTTGTTTTACACATAAGTGTAACTGAAGCACTTTTTGAATGTTCTGCCCGACCCCATATATCAGAAGTCAAAGCTAATCAAACATCATGATGACCTAGCAAGGGCTACACATTTTGATCTTCAATTACATGTACATGTATTCGAAACCTCTAAAGACCATCTAAAAGTCAGTGATCCTAACTGATTAGCAATGATCGAAATCGGAAAGCTTATTAAAGCCTGTTGTGTTTTGTTTTTTTCCCCAAACCAAGAAGAACATTAGTAAGAAGAACAAAACAAGAGGCCCAGATGGCCTGTATGTCTCATCTGGATATGTAAGCAATCATGGCAAAATATTCTTCAAAAAAGATCCCAGGGATATGGCAAGACCCAAAGGCCATTCCTTGTAGCATATCTGTATTCGATTTTTCATGCCCAGCATTTGTATGTAATCTGGTTATGGGGTGGGGATCTCAACTGCCCCGGGGCTATCCTGGGAGCATTTTTGCATTCATCCCTTTACACTCAGCAATTGTATATATGGTTATAGGGTGGGTATTTCAAGCATTTCCAAGTTATATACTATTTTTGGCTCCACCTCCTAGCCCGGGAGGTCAGCCATTTGTACAATTGTAAATCCCGACCACCTTGGGAGTCTTCAAACAAAAACTAGTTCATATCCATCGCTTAGTTCCAGAGAAGAAGTCGCTTAAAGCAAAATAGCCAAATTACCCTTTTTAGTCCCACCCCTAAGCCCCCTGGGGTGTCCACGCAACCATTTGTACAATTTTGAAACCCCACAATCTAGGGATGTTTCCAACCAAATATAGTTGCTATCTATTTTTCATTTCCAGATAAGTCGCTTAAAGCAATATATAGCCAAATTATCCTTTTTGGCTCCGCCCTTCAACCCCGGTGTGTGTGTGTGTGGGGGGGGGGGGGGGGGGGGGGGNCACCATTTGTACAATTTTGAAACACAACCACCTAGGAATGCTTCCAGTCAAATTTAGCTAATGCCCAATCAATGGTTAAGAAAAATAAGTCATTAGAAGAAATTGTTGACGTACGAACGACGGACGGACGACAGACTACGGACGGACGAACGGACGGACGAAAGAGTAACAGTGACCTTAACCTTCAACAAAGAAACCCGAAAGGCGCACTTGTTCAAGGTATTGTCATACCAAACACTTTTTTCAAGTTTCGTGAAATTCCGATGAGGAATGAAGTTGCTCTAGCGATGACAAATAAACCTGAAACGAGATCTTGTTCAGGGTATTCCCATAACAAACATTGCATAAAGTTTTATGAAATTCTGGTGAAGTCGCTAGAGCGATGACGATGTTTTTTTCTCTAAAAATATAAAGTGACTTTGACCTTAGCGTAGAAACCCGAAAGGCGAAGCTATTCAAGGTATTGTCTTGCCAAATACTTGTATGAAGTTTCATGAAATTCTGTTGAGAAATGAAGTTGTTACAGCGATGACAAACAGTGTAACATACGTACATATGTTCAGACTGAATACCATATCCTCTCAAACTAAAGTTGCGAGGGGATAATAATGGGACAAAAATATAGTACACGCACCCCATTTGTTTGTGGCTGTTTAAGGAAGAGAAACACATGTTCGTTAGAATCAATATATAGTTACTTATCGAGCGTTGAATCTTCAAACAAAATAGTGAAAAAAAATAGTATTTTTTAATTTCAAAATAGGGGGTGGGGGTAACCGTTTTTCTGAATTAAAATAATAAGATTAAGAAAATCTACTTCCATACTTTAAAAAGAAAACACATTTTTTATCAATACTGCAATCATTCATACATGTAAATATCCAATAACACGCTAGGAAGAAATTGTATGGGGTTTTTTTCAGCAAATGGTCAAAACTAAACAAAATCAACAAAAATCACATATTAATCGGTATCTTTGAACGATAATAGCACAAAAATGAACGCATGGGCATACATGTTGATGTTTTTGCATTTTCTCCTATGCAATTATCTCCTTTTTCAGAGTCGTATTACCTTAATAAAAGGGTGTTCGCTCATTATGTGTTACAAATGTAGCTCTTTTCATCTCTCTCTTACAAAGTCACAGATATCAAAATGGGCTTTTAATCGGACAACATATTATATACATATGTATATTATTAGTGCACTTTTGATTATCTGTCTATATAACGATAGACCAATTTATCATCTTGTTCAATCCTTAAGAAAATTTACATTTCCCATTGAAACGGACGAAAAAAAAATATGAGATATTAGCTACTTCTAACAAATGTTCATCCTGTTTTGGGAAAAAAAGAAAAAACAACAGGCTTTAATAAACTTTCCGATTTCGATCATTGCTAATCAGTTAGGATCACTGACTTTTAGATGGTCTTTAGAGGTTTTGAAAGATCAAAATGTGTAGCCCTTGCTAGGTCATCATGATGTTTGATTAGCTTTGACTTCTGATATTTGGTGTCGGGCAGAACATTCAAGCTTAAAGCGGAAAATAAAATATTTTAAATATCAAATAGTTTTCTCTTTCCAATGGGAAATGTATTAAATTTGAACGCTTTTTTATGGAATGATTCAATACCCTGTTAAAACATAGGACACCGATCTCGGTTTTCCCCGCTCTTCATTCAAGGTCAGTTAAAATTTAGCACTGTATATAACTGTGAATGGTTCAGAGCGCTGCAGTTATATTGCTATATCAAATCCCTCAAGCAGTGATGCAAACAATAATAGTATTTTAATAGTACTTAATAATGACTGGGAAATACTATAAACGGGTGATTATTTTGCAATGTTTTGGAAATACTGTTAACAGGGGATTATTTTGCAATGTTTTAAGTGTATTCCATGTAATATTACTTTTTTATATTACCTAGATACTGACAAAACAATCAACTTGAGATAGGGATAAGACTGTTTCACCTTCACTAAGTCAGTGGAACGTAAATTGCAGAACAGATCGGGCACCTGCAACTTGCATACAGTAGAGCTACCGTAACTGCATCATTGATATATTGGTGATATTGACGAAACGCACATTAATATCCCGATATATGACAATTTCTTCTTTCCAAAGTCAAACATAAAGTGCAAGTAAAATATGTCATCCGCAACATGCATTAAGTAGATAAACCCTTGCTGCATTTTTGGTGCAATAATGATCTATAGAACACATACCGCTTTACCAGATTTAAAAGAAACAATTGTTCTTAACTTTATATATATATAAGGCTATTTCTTAATGTGAGGCATAAAAAGGGTCGAATTCAGTATCTACATCTTGTATGAAGCAGAAACATTTGTCTTCATGAGGAATGCAACTATAATCTGTGTAGCACTAACCTATGGAACAGGAAAAGACAGACCATGTTTCCATACCTCAGCAATATGTTTTTATTTTCAATTTTAATACAAAAACTAAAATATTGTTCAACCATATGAACATGAATGAAGACATTCTACATTTCTACACCATGGCAACATGAATTCAAGTTATGTAAAGGACTACATGTACAAATCACACATTCATATGGCCATCCAACCAATATATTTATTTTCACACAAAAATTAAACTTACAAATGAACGTCCAGTATGTTGTTTGATTTTAAGAGAAAGAACTCAAAAAGGTACATTTTTCATTCAATTATTTTACGATTTATGATTAAATAAATAAAATATGCCTTGCAGACACATTTTACTTTGTGTCGTCTCACCGCACAGCATTCTGTATTTATTTAATACAAACTTTCACTGTTAACTTAAACTTTATATTTTTTGCTGTAAAAACAAATTCAATGCATATCATATTTAAACAAACATGCAAAAGTGATTACATAAAAATATATCTTGATAGGTTCTTCCAAAATACATATCGGTAGTCATTATGTAAATAAAACACCTGCTACTGTACTAGGTACATATATGTAGTAGAGCTTGAATCACGTAATTATATCATTATACTCTATTCGATTTGTCTATACAAGTGTACCTGACACATGTACACTGAAAGTAAATTCTCTTTCTCTACTAATGTACATATGGATCATATGAATATCTCTGAAAACAATTTCCAAAGTCAATAGAAGATGCCACAGCGTTTTCCGCCTCTGCATATTCCGTTATAATGAACTCATCCTATCATACTTCACAGCCAACAACATTACCTGACAAACACAACACGATCAATATATTCATGTCATCAAACTTATCCAATGAAAAGCGAATTGAATCTGCTACTTTTGATCCTTGAATTTTATAATCCTGTATTGTTTTCTTTTTTTAATTGAAGAAACTGAAATACAGATAATCTTTTATCAACAATCAAATTTAAACACCATCTAAGCATCACAATTAAGTATCATCTCTGTCTATACTGACATGATTATCATCTTATATCCACATCAAGCGTTTGCACGGCCTTTGAGGAGATTTTCTCGTGTAAAATGTTGACCTCATTCTGGGTCAGTGGTCGTTCCATGTGGCGATACACTATCCGGTAAGTCTGACTCTGACGCTGTTTTTTCGGGTGGAAAAAAGAGTCAATCAAATGCACCTGTTCCACTTGGTTTCCCCCTACTGCCCTTACCAGGTCATAGAAGTCGTTTTCTGAAAAGCTCTTTTGGTTGATCCAGAAAGAAATGTCGTTAATGCATGGTGGACTGTCACTGACCGGCTGGAATTAGAGAAGGAAAGCTTTTTGACAAATCATGCATGCACATCAATTCGGATGTTACTGATCGTCTTAAATTGTTCGATTCATGCTTAAATCTTGTTTTGGTTATGAAATTGAATGGAAGTTAACCTCTGTGAATCAATGGTTGTTTTGCTTGAAGGTAAGCATCATTTTACATCTGACATCTCCACAACTCGATTATGTTACCCCATCACTGTGGGTCTAAGTATTACTTGAATGTATCCCACTTAATCTAATGTATCAGGGTTTCACAATGTGAACAAGTATCCAACACATTTTCACAACTCTTCTTTAATTGAACACAAACACTTACAACCGAACTCATTAAACATGCGTTTCAAATTTCCTTTCTGTACGACTAGTAAAAGTTAATCCGCAATGTCAATAACAATAACTTAAGAAAGAAAAACAATGGTGCAGCTTTGTCAATATAGATCTTATTATAAAATAACGAAATATTTTCATTGTCATGATAATATGGTATTGTTTTGAATGACAATTGTCAATGACGTGGATAAATGTGTAAATCAATTGGAGATTTCAATTATAACCTCAAACATCAAGAAAACAGATTATAATAACATAGACTTCTGAGCGCAAGAGTGTAGGAGCAAGGGGAAGCATGGAATGGCAGGGGCGGATAGCATGAAGTGAAGGGCAACGGGCGGGGAACGAAAAAGAGAGGCAACTTGCGGGAAGCAACACAGAGGCAACGGGTGGCGAGCAAGAGAGAAGCGAGAGGTGGGGGGAAAGGGAGAGGTAATTATATAAAGAGTGGGGAGAATCAGAAATCCAAAGGTTGGGAGAAGAGAGGATGCAAGTGATGGGACGAAGGGATGAGGCAACGGATGGGGAGCAAGAGAGAGGCAATGAATGGGGAGAAGGGAAGAGGCATATGACATTCAGCAAGAAAGAGATAAGAGTTTGGACGCAAGAGGAGGCAAAGACTAGGAAGCAAAAGAGAGGCCGGCGGTGGGGGGAAAGGGATGTGCAAGGGTTGGAGAGCAAAGAGACAGGAGGCAGTGGGAGATGAGGATGTGAAGTAAGGGGTGGTAAGAAAGTAGGGAGAGGGTGGCAAAGGGGAGGGAGTTAGGTCGGTTGTGAGGCAAGGGCGCAAGTGTCAAGCAGGCAGGAGGGAAAAGCGGAGGGAAGAACTCTGTTTTTTTTAATTTCTTTTATATAGATAATTTCAGACGCGACCTGTTTCACATAACACTGACCTGAGTTCAAAACATTTGCTTTAAAGTTTTCAAACACCTGTCTCTTTTATAAACATCAGCGACTGCAGAATGTTATCTCTGGAAGTGCCCCTTGTTCACAATTAACCGTTATAAAGAACCAAACAAATGGCCATAACTTATATCCTTTGGCTCTTTCCACACATATCTAGCTTTGAGTCATATATAAAAGATATATAAAGGTTACATATTGAATGTCATATATATTTCTTAAGTATTGCAGAATACTGGTACCAATATTTTTCACCAGTGAAAATCACAGGTCTATTCTTCCATACTTGTGAAATACATATAGTATTCAAGTGGAAAACCATTATATTTTCTAAATTTATTTTGTACTTTTTAAGTAAAAAATGAAAAATAATACTTCATCCAGAAACTGCAGGAATTAGTACATGTAGTTTAATATTTGACTCTAGTTTTTAATGACATTAAGCTTAAAAACAAGGCTGAGGTCCATTTTGAATGGCTTACTCCACGCAATTCTACTGACTACTGCCATTATCAAGTAAGGTTTTTCTTGCAAAAATGATATCCACTTAGTAGTTGCATTTAATATGAATTGATAAAACTTAAATAACTTAAGGTATGGAGCAAAAGTGTACCAAAACAACCACCTGTTCACTGTTGCTTCATTTGCATCTGAAACTGAAATTCTACAGTTCTGAATGCAGTGAATTGAAACATTGTGTTTACCGTCACTGAAGTGAAGACTTCAGGTTTGAAATGTAGGTGTAGATATATAGAGGTTCCCAAACAAGTAATGGTTGGTTATCCAGTTTATCTAAATCAAGTTAGTTTAATTATAAAATTATATAAAGACACGAGGTTTACCAATTACTATTTTTACAATTGGAAAAACAACTAATGAGAGTTAGATAAACATGACAGCCAACCATCACAAGTTTGGGGCCATCTTCTCCCATTATGTTCCTATTTCTATCTAGAAAACCGCATGTTTCATTTATAAATACATTTTGTCTGTTTCCAATAGGGGAAACAATTGCCATGACTCATGACTCGCACCGGAAAATGACATCCGAGAACATTGTAATGCGACATCATAATTAGAAGATTGACCAATGATGTCATGTTACGGGTGTTACCCACTTGTGAGTAAATAAAAATGTTTACCAACTCCTATTATCCAATGAGTCAGGAGTGAGCAAAATTATATTGGTTGTGGGAGAGAAGTTTTCATGAAAATGATAATTCCCAATATCTCACAAGTGAAAATGCAATAAATACATTTATAACATATAAATATGTTTATTACCATTTTCCAGTGAGATACTGGATTCTATCAAATTGATAAAACTGATTTCCTTCACAGTGTGACAGATGTCAGAAGTGATCAATCTGTCACGGTTCATAGAAATCACTTCTGGTATTGACAGAATAATGGCACTTTCTATTCACTGCATTCAAAGTAACATTTTTTTCTGTTCAAATACTGATGAAGCAACAGTAGGAGATACGTTTTGAATTAACTACACTACTAAATAACATTTAAACAATTCTTACCAAATAATAGAAATTTGTTGAGTAGCCCACTCAAATTGGCATGCATGTTTACTGGTTGTCATGTGTCAAATATAGCACCAAAGATTATGTTCCCACACGTTTTTGATGGAATAACATTTTTGTAGTTGTTACTACAATGTACTTAAAAAAAATGCAAAGAAACTTTACTAGTTTGCCTATTGAATACCATAATTATATATTTCATTCTTAAGGCAGAATATACTGATACTCTTAGACTCAAGAAAAATATCAGAATTATATCATACATGTATTTCGATTGTATAATTATGGTATCCAAAGGGAAACTAGAAAAATATCCCCTACATGTTTAATACATCCTGTCTAAATATTTTAAAGACAAACACAAAATGGCCAATATCTTGACCAGCCCACTGGGATACGATAACATGGCCAAACTCTCCAAACTTCTTATCTGACCGCAAAATTTTGATTTGATTGACTGATGTAATTTCAAGAGACAACAAATGAAATAGACTAACTTTAAAGGTGATAGATGTATATGGGTCTTGAACTTCAAACTGTGAAAGGAATCCTGTGTCTTCACTCCAGAACCAGCGAATGTCAGGAATCTCATAGAGTTTCATAGCAAGTCGCTCCAACCCCAGACCAAACGCCCATCCAACTTTGTCTGCTGCCCCCGCTAAATTTAGTAAAATATAACAATGACAAATTATTACAAAGAAAAGAAGTTCCAGTAAGGTATTAACACATTAAAAAAGTCATCAATTCAATTTTTGTGTTTGCCAGTGTTTGAAAGTACGTACATGTAGTGGTGTTTTGATAAACATAGTGAAGTTGTCAGCTATTCCCTCTAAGATAATGGACAAATGTTGTTGAGCTGTAATATTTTGTAGTCGGGGAATCAACGTGAAAAATATGTTGGTTACATGATCACACATAAATCATTCCTTGTACAAAAGTCCTAACATGTATTTCAATTCTCCGTTTTACTAAATGGTTTTTTTTTTAATTTGTGGTAGGTACGGTACATGTTCCATTAAATGGATTTATTAAAGACTTTTTCCTTTTCTGGAGGAAAGAGAAAATAGAATATCTTTGTACTGAAATATTGCTTATACATGTACAGATTTACAACAATAGTAAATGTGCAACCCTTGTGAATAATTGACTATGTAAAAGTTGGTGCAAATGATATGGAAGGTGAAGTGTTATATACATTGTATATAGGAGGCAGGTATTCTTTTTTGTTAGGTTTTTTTTTTTCTTTTACCTGAACGCGTGATCTTCTGTTCCATGATGCCACAGCCTAAGACCTCCATCCATTCTCCACGGAACTTAATCTCCAACTCCCACGATGGGTGGGTGAATGGAAAATAGGCATCAACCCACTTCACCTCAATATCTGGAATTCAAATATACAGAACTTACAAAGTATCCTAATATATGTATAATTGTCATCTTAAAAGCTCTGTCCATTGGTTTCATTATAGGCTTTATAATTATATTTTCTGAGAGTCGATAGTGCTTACAAACATTAAGTGATGCTGGGCTACAAATAATTGATCCCATAAAGGGCCATAAAGGAGGTCGTCAACAATTTAAAGTCTGTGCTTAAAGAGGTTAGTCAGACTGGTACATATTGTAAAATAATAAGATGTACCAGACAAATTGCCAAATGTTCTGAGTGCCCATCTCATTTTTCAACAAAACAAAAATACTACTACCGGTACATATATTTGTATTTTTATCATCAAAAATTTCCAATCAACTTTAAACTCAAATCAACAGATCTAGAACAGACCAAAGAGTAATGACTGTTCCTTAAGTAAATTCCATAACATCAAATTTTCAATAACGAAACATCACTGCAGACAAAAAAATACTTAATTTAAGATTAAATGTTAGTTTCTATAATGATTTCCTATTGAAAAACTAAGTTACCGAATTCTAAAGTTTTAAGGAATGTTCATAAAACTCAGGCCTGGTTTTTTTTACATTGATCTAGTAAGAGTGGCCACAGGGAGGAGCATGCAGTGATGTTTGGTACAGTACCTTTTCCAAATAAATGAAACGTAAGATTTTCCAATGTTTTTTTCAGGTCATGCTCCATCATTACTGACGTCTCATGAGTGTGGCTCTCCTGTTTTGTAGGCAGGCGTTGACCATCTTCAAACAGATTCAATGTATCCTTGTCTGTTGATTTGTTAAAAAGCTAAAATAACAAAGACAAACAATAGAATTCTGAAACACTCTTAGATTTATGAGGTCATGTACAAAAATAAACATTTTATTTGAATTTTCTTAATACCTTCAAAATAGTTAATAAAAAATCTTTCTAAAGACTCATATAATAATTTGTGAACCACTTTGAAACGACCTACCAACTAGGTTGTGATAAAGGGGTATACAAGAACCTCGAATGATTAATTATTACTTTGCAGCCAAATGATGTAAACCAAGATAATGAGATAGGGTTACTTTAAGACGACCGACAAACTAGGTTGTGATAAAGCGGTATATAAGGACCTCAAATTATTAATTATTACTTTGCAGCCAAACGATGTAAACCAAGATAATGAGATAGGGTTACTGGAAACATTTTGCAAAAAAATGAAGTTTTCCAACATACAAAACATATTCTAATTCATTTGAGATGTAACATGGCATTTGATTGGTCAATCTAAATAATTTGCGACGGTAAAACTACAATATACCATCCACAAATTTCTCATTTGCATATAAAGCCTTGATAGCGATCGTTAATGACGTTGATGACCCAGACTGACCCAGACACGTCATGAAATTGATTATTCATGACATCACGAACAATAGCGTGACCCTGAAAGGTCAACGTAATTCCGCCTCACTTTGAATATTTCTGACGTCACCAATCCTGAGCAGAGAGACCCAGAATTTGCAGAAAACACTCAAAGATACATGTATCTTAAAACCGTTGCTTCTTTCTGTGGTTTTGGTTGATATGTATTAGAATAGGGATAACTCTACTGTATTTTGAAATTTGCGTCAGTATATCATGATTATACTGTCGCAAGTATCTGGCGGGGACAGTATAATCACGATTTACTTCCGCAAAATGAACAAGAGGCCCATGGGCCTTAACGGTCACCTGAATCCTACAGTATTTATTTTGGTTGTTGAAATATGTACCAATTTGAGTAAAATAGTTAAGTATAACGTTAACTTAAGTTTGTCAGGACCATGAGCTGATCATTCCTAGACCCAGTTTCAGTTAAATCGGCCTATTAGAACTTGTTTATAAGTTTGAAATAGTTATTTTCAAAATAGCAGCCGTGGCAGCCAAATTGTATTTCTGATCGACCAGAAAAATAACAACACTTTGTCAGGACCATAAGTCGATCATCCCTACCAAGTTTCAGTTCAATCGGCCAAGCAGAACTTGACTTTAAGTTTGATTTTTTTTTCAAAATGGCGGCCGTGGCGGCCATAATGGATTTCTGATCGACCCGAAAAATAACAACACTTGGTCAGGGAGATGTCAGTAACCTTGACAAGAGATCCCAGAGGGATCTTGGCACCCACCATTGTACCATCTTCATTAGTTCTTTGTCAGTGCTATCTTTTCTCTTCTTTCCTCTAATCTGTTTGATCGAGTCATGTTAACTGTAAATGTATCTTGAGGTAACTTTTGATCTAAACTTAATACTGATGATATTATGCACAAAGAGGGATCAAGGGAAACATACATATCAAATTTGAGAAAGATCCCTCAAGTTATTCCTGAGAAATAGGACTAACACACCTTCAATGTCAAAAATCGAAGATGGCTGTCGGTAGGCCATTTTGTTTAACTGATCAGTTTCAAAAGTTAACATGAACAATAAAGGATAGTGGGGAACCTGTATTGACTGGCCCCAATTATTTCTTGGGGGCGAGTAAAAAATTAGAAGCACTGGACCAAATGACATATTGGTGGCCCAAATAATTTTGGGAAGAAATATTTCCACAGCATTTAACACAATGCTTCAGCACATTTAAATTACATTAACATGACAATGTTTGTTATATGTAAAACAGAATAAAACTTTATATTTCTAATTCTTCAACCCTAGTTAAAACCTGACATGATCCACTCCTTCAGGTCTTTAGTATTTTAGTATTTCCCAAAGAAAATACACAAAACTTGCACCTCAAAGAAGACACCCTGGCCATATTTATAGAAAATCTGAAAAAAATCATCACATTTTCTAAATCGCGGACAGTTTGATTTAAATCGCAGTAATGACAACTGAAAAATGCACTGCCCCCCAGTGGAAGGGATTATAATTTCTTTAATTCATAAATTTGTTGGGCCAGTGACTACCTCACTTTTGACAACTTTTGGTCGCCCGAGCAAGACTTTATTCGCCATTGGCGAGCTGGCGACCGTTCATTTCAGGCACTGCTGCACAATAAGGGAACAAGGGGGACCTATATATAAAATTTGAGAAAGATCCCTCCCGTACTTCCCGGAAAATAGCGATAACAATTTTTCACTATCAAAATCCAAGATGGCTGCCTGTCGGCCATGTTGTTTTTCTGATCAGTCTCAAAAGTTGCCCTGCACAGCTAAGGACCAAGATGAACCTACATATAAAATTTGAGAAAGATCCCTCCAGTACTTCTTGAGAAATAGCGATAACAAACTTTCAATATCAAAATCCAAGATGGCTGCCTGTCGGCCATGTTGTTTATCTGATCAGTATCAAAAGGTTGCCCTGCACAGCTTAAGACCAAGGGGAACCTACATATAAAATTTGAGAAAGATCCCTTTGGTACTTCTTGAGAAATACTGATAACAAGAATTGTTTAAGGATGGACGACTGACGGACCACGGACCACGAACGCAGGGTGATTTGAATAGCCCACCATCAGATGATGGTGGGCTACACAGACGCAGGGTGATTTGAATAGCCCACCATCATATGATGGTTGGCTAAAAATGTAAAATGTTAACGGACGACGGACGAAGACGAATAGCAATAGGTCACTTGAGCTAAACCTCAGGTGACCTAAAAATACAGTAGGGTTATCCTTAAATAAAAAAGCATCAATTTTACAATCAACAAGATGTCAATCAGCCTTTAGTTAACATCACCTCACAGTGTTAAAACTTTACAGTAGACAAACACCATAAAAAACACTGCAGGTCTGGTAATGGAAATCTTATACTTCATGGACGACCAAACTATGGCAAATATTTCCAGTGATGTGTACGATTCAATGACAAGTATAATAGTGAGGAGAAAAAAGTTCTGTAAAGTTGTTTTTCTTCCATTATTATTAAACATATTTTTAACTTCATTTAATCAAAGAACTGAGTATTTAAGTGAAAATGTCTTGGTAAATTGCCTTGGTCTATAAAAATTCAACAGGTCTTAGACTCTATAGGAAATATATCACATAAACCTCTTGTCTTTCATGTGTAAATTCTTAATTCTAAAACTGACCTCATATTTAGTGTAGAGTCTTAATCCTTCCACTTGATGGAATACTGGAAAATGGCTGGAGTCAATGGCGTCCCTGCGATACACATCACCGTACAGGAGGAATGCATCAAGGCCCATTCCTATCAAGTCCACCTGGTGGCAAGATGTATGGGCTCGCAGCATATACTCTGAGTTGATGTAATAACTGTCCGTTTTCCTTCTGCTTGGGTGATCCACTGGCACAAGTAAGCTGTCATAATTCTGATACAGTGTTACAACGGGACTCAAATTGTCATATACAGAGAATAGTGGGTTTCTGTATTTGTTAAAGTAGTTTTTATAGAAAAAGTCATTGATTCGTAATTTGATGAGATTTAGAGGATGATATTTCTTGCCATGTAAATTCTTGCCCAATTTCTGCAGAATGGTTGGTGTTACATTTGTCCAACTGTCCCTGTTATAGGTTTTCCCTCGGACAGTAACGGTATCTGTTGTAATGTCTGCTGACGGTGTCATATTCGACTTTGTACAGTATGTACATATTCTGTTTTGTCGCAGGAGCACCTCGACACCTCTTCTCCATTGGATAAAGGACTGCATTTCTGAAAAAAAGATCAAAACTTATGTGAACAATTGTAATATGCATATTCAATATAGTTGTAAGTATAGATCAAAAAAACAAACACAAAAAGTAATATAATTATATTATAAAATGAGCTTGTACCCAAACCAAGGCATAAAAAAAATGATCCCTTACCGAAAATGTATCCAACTCAGTAGGAGTGCTTATACTCATTACTAGTGTTAGCCTTTTTTTTAAATTTAGCCCTGCAAGCAATCATCTTGAATGACACCTATGATTTAATATACCTAGTACCTAGGCCATTTAAATTAGGGAATGTGAACATTAGAACCTGGAACCGACTACCATCCTCGGTTGTATCAGCTATGTCCGCAGATGCATTCCACCAAGCCATCTGCCAGATCCACCTTTCCACCATCTAATGGTGCTGATTCTGTTTTAACCTTTAAACTGTATATATGGGCTGATGCTTTTTACCTCTTAATATGCGCAAAGAGTGTGATAATATTCTGCGAAGAATGAAGCACTTTAATGGAATAAAAAAAAGTCTCCACTTGAATTTATGTAAAATAAGAAAATTAATTGCCCTCAAAAACAAAGTGATTTAGAGCAACATATCAACTTTGTTTTCGTATTCATGGGAACAGTCTGTCAATACAATCTCTTCTCAAACCCACTTTTGCCACAAAATTGTACAAATCATTTTAGAATGTTTTAATGCCTATTGAATGTATTTTTTTAACGTTTATTCATCATTATTATATTATGTATGTTCAGAAGTAAAGTGCAATGGTAACAGGAGATGGCAAATTGCGTGACCAGATGGGGTTTCAAACACGGGACCCTCCAAACTATAGACAGGCGCTCTACCAATTCAGCTACCTGGTCACAGACAATCGATTCAGTCCATTTCTGCTACATTTCGGCCTCCGTTTTTTCCAAGTCTTGGCCTAGAAGGCATCACTATTTACACCCGGGTAGCATTCATCAAGTACTTGAAACAAGGATTGGTCACAGACACCAAATATAACAGGAGTGGAAAAATACACGGCCAGATGGGGGTTCAAACTCGGGACCCTCCAAACTATAGACAGACGATCTACCATGTGTGCTACCTGGTCGTTGATGACCGACTCAGTCCAGTTCCGCTTCACAATAATAGCAAAAGGGATTGAACTTTTCTAGCTCATTCTGTACTCTTTTGTGGTACATCAATAAAATCCTTAACACTCATTCAACTTTAAAAGGCAAATAACAATAATATTGTTACTCATTTGGGTAACTGTTACCCAAATGCAGGATTATTTCCCATATGTGCCACTGTTACCAACCTGACTAATGTTAAGTGTAATAAAATGAAATACCGGAAGGTTCATTACTGTTTAGTTTATCAACTTTGATTTTTAACTGTATAGATGTGACAATTTTTTCGATATACATGTTAAGGCATTTTTGTCCCATCATAAATGGATATTCTATTAAACAGAGGACAGTCTCTTGAATAAGGTGTGCAGCGTTCCCAGCCTGCATGTACAAATTGTGTAGATACATTATTTTTCTTCTTCTTCTTCTGTGTTATACAGTGCAAGATTCATCTTGAATAGTAACGTCTAGTCCGAATTATTCTGACGTTTTATCGACTTTTTTTATATCGGTCTGTCGTCGATTAACCGACGACAGATCAAGATAAAAAAAGTCGATAAAACGTCAGAATAATTTGGACTAACTAACGCCCTAGTGCATGTCAGGATGAATGGTGCAAGTTACGCTCCACTATGTACAGTTAAAAAGTTAAAACAACAGGTGTCTACTGTGTTACCACCAGCTGGACACTACAGAGGCTGTGGTGGAATGCCTCTATCGATGGTGACTCCAGTACTGATGAGGGGAGCTTGTTCCAGGTCCTGACTGCTGTTGCGAAGAAAGAATGTTGGTAAGCTAGGATCCTGGAGTGGGGGGTGAGGTAGCGGTGTGGGTGCTCTCTTGTTATTCTGGTTGTCGTCTCTGATGTTATGAGGTACACTGGATTAGTAGGACGATGTCTACGACGTTGTGTATCATTTTGTAGACCATCACTTGCTGTGCCCTCAGCCGGCATTCCTGGAGTTTGCTCAATCCAAGCTGGAGTAGCATCACTCACAGGCTGTAACACTGCTGTGTCTGTCAAAGTCGTCCATGACATAGCATGCTGCACACCTTTGCACATTCTCCAGTTTGTCAATGCTCCTGTGAGTATATGGGTTCCACATGGTTGAGAAATATTCTAATAGGGGTCTTACTAAGGTAGTGTAGCAGACGGCCTTGTCTAGTATTGGAGAGCTTTTCAATGTTAATTGGATAAAGGCGTTCGTGGCGTTTGTCTTTTTGCTGGTGACATCTTATAATCATCATCATTATCTTCCTGGACATATGAGCTGTCGACCCTAACTAAGGGGTGTGCTGCTCCAGCGACATGGTGCACAGGTCTCGAACCGCCAGTTTAAGATTTAAAAATAGTGAGACGTTTAAAGTGACTCACAATGTGACAGCTATGAACTGTGTTACAAAAAAAAAAAAAAATGTTATACATGAACTGGTGTCCTTCAATGCAGGTTCAGTGGTGTTTTCCTTAAAAGTCCTCTGGTTGTAATGAGGACTGGAAGGGCAGCTTGTTCCATCACAAGTTCCTCTGGATGTAAACGCAGAGGTACTTGGCTGATGGTAAAGCTTTGAGTGTCTGGCTGTGGATGGAATAGCTGTGCCTGGGTGGGTTCCTTTTGTTGGTGATGTGGATGGTCTCCAATTTATCAGGATTAAAGTACATCTGCCAGTCCTTTCCCATTTTTGTAGTACTGTTTAAGTCGTTCTGGAGTTCCACCGCTTCTGTTATGCTCTTGATCACTCTGTACAGAAGACAGTCATCCGCAACCAATCTCGGAGTCGAGGTCACGCATGAAAGCAGTTCATTGACAAGTGGTCCTAGTACTGTTTCCTTTTTTTGTGGTGTTATCTGGTTATGCGTTTGTTCCAAATTGCAAAGACATATTTTATCACAATTTACAAAACGTCTCTCATATCTATCAATAAACCAAATCAGCCACACAAGAGTAAAAACATACCACCTAAGTTGTTCAAAGATGATCGTCACCTTCAAAATTCACGATTTCATTTTCACATGGGCGCCGCCATATTTGCCGAAAATGGCTTCGTCATATAATTCACGACATAAAACCTTTGGCTATGTATGGAAAAGGTTAATACATCCATGCTAAAACAGAATATCATATTAACTGTTTGATTATCTAAGAAGTTTACAGATGAATAATTACATAGTTGCATTCTTTCAAGCTAATAGTTGTCGTAAAACCTTAACCAACATGGCGGCAACAAGAAGCAAGGTCATCAGATTGTACAAGAATTTATTGAAAGAATGCAATAAATTCAATACGTACAATTACAGGTAATCTAAATCCATATCAGTGTGTACAGGAAATGTTGAAGATTGATGAAAACCCGTTTTCTGGAGATGTCAGAGTCGAGTATTGTTTTTATTGCGTATTATTTTAGTGGGCACGATACCACGTGAAATAGTTATCTTATTGTGTAACCCAACTGTTCATTTCTGTTCAGTCAGTTGTGATCCTTTGATACGTGTTAAAATATATGTTATATAATAATATATATATATTTATATATACCTTTAAAGAAATTGTTATAATTTATGATGAGCATGCATAGATATTGTTGGATTAAGTCGACCAACTCCTACAGGCTTCAGCTTTTCATTATTCATTATGTGTGAGTTGTTTCCCTTTGATCTGTAAACCACACTGCTAAGGCCCTTTTAACCTGAATGTATATTGTAGACTTTCCTTTATGTATAGGCTTCTCACATTATTTTGTTTGTTTTTAGAACGTATGCAGTAAGGCGAACAAAAGATGCTTTCCGAGATTACAAAAATGAAACTGATCCTTCTGTGATACAACAGCTGATTACGAAAGCGGAAAGTAACCTGGAAATGGTCAAACGACAGGTGATACAACTGAAAGGAATTTTACATCCATCAGCCTGTAACTCCTGAAATGTGTATTATTTTACCTGTGCAACTGTGTACACTAATGTAGTTACATCAATATTCTGTATTTTGAAATTTCTGAAACATTTTCTTAATTAACGACCCAAATTTTTATTGCAATCATACTATAGAGCATGTACATACATACCAATTTTTGTATGGGTTATTAAGGTAACAACTGAAAAAAAAGATTGTGTGTTCAACCTGCAGAGGTAGAAACATAAAAAAGAAAGCAATGAGAGTAAACAAGTTACATATAATATATATTGTTAAAAGATTCCTGTAACACAACCAATTATTGTTTATATCTGACATTTTGATGACAAGTACGGTATGTACTCTGTCACCTTCATCAGACAAATGGCCAGTGAAGCGTATTTACACAAAAGTGTAAAATATGTAAGAGTTGTCCACGAAAAGTCTATGAGAGAGTCTATGAGCCCTCTCATCTCGATTTAGAACTGGCCCACTGCGGCGCATCCAGATGGCTTCCTTTATCTGCCGCTGGAACAGATTGCTCTTTCTATCCAATACTTTGGAGTTATCCAAGTCAATCACAATCAGCAACCACAGACCATGCCACACAGAAAATTCATGTGATTGACAGGAATAACTCTTAATCCAGATGAGGGGGCTCATAGACTCTTGATATCTATGACCAAGTATTAAACAAAGAGTAGCCGAATTGAGTCGTTTTGGTACAATTATACATACGCTTACAGCGTAGCCGATTTCGTGGACAACACATGCATATTTTACACCTTTGTGTACATACGCTTCACTGGTCATTTGTCTGGTGAAGGTGACAGAGTACATACCATACTAGTCATCGAAATGTCACATATAAATTCACTTAATGGTTGTGCTACATGTATATGAAACTTTTCACAATCCATACTTACCAGCCTGAATAAAATGTTTAGAAAAATTACATATTTAGTTTATCACCACTAACAGGAATAAGCGACATGCAGTCTTAGAATTTTGAATTTACACACCATGTGGGGCTATCTACATAGTTTTCTTATAGACCTACTCAAATTTTCATGGGACCTTCAAGGGTCCTTCATTGTCATGAGAATCGTTTACTTATATACGGTGCTTCATATCATGAAATTAAGATACTACCAGATATGACGTGTTGTAATAATGGAAGAAACGTAATTTCACAGAATCAATTTCCTTAGTTAAAACATTATCAGTGATTCAAACTCATCACAGGTAACAATGTCTTACACAACTTGGTCAATGAAGTAAATTATTCCCTTAGACCTACAGTGTTTTTCATGGTGATTGTTTATGGGTCTAACATTAAGTTTGAACACGGGGGATATTATTAGATACACATATTAAGGGGAGATAACCCCATGCATAATCCAATTGAATGAGTTATACAATGTTCAGTTAATAAGCTATATCAATACAAAAAAAAACGTCAATCTTTGCATATTTTTGGCTTTTCTATAAAGCTTGTTCTTTTTGAATATTTGAATAACATTTGTATTTATTTCATATATGTACAAAGTTAATATATAGATAGCTTTTATTTATGGCAAATACAAGTACATGTATTTGTATAAAACCTACAGGAACGGTTTGCAAATTGAAGTGCACACAAAAATAACATAGTTAACAGATCTCAGCTGTAGTTTTTATATGTCAAATGGAGAGGAAAAATAAATTTGAGTATACCTACCTATATATGAATACCTTAGCATGTTAAACTTTTGAATATGATCTGTTAGTAAACAACTTTATGGGACTGTAGAAACTAACATTTATGGAGTTTTAAAGTATTCAAGTATTACAAAAATTGTATTATATATTTTGTAGGTTTAAATGTAGATAAGATGGAATCTGGAAAACATCTTTTAAAAGGATCAATGTTTTATGCTAGAAAAAACTCTTTGAGAAACTTGTCAGCAAATTAATCAGGCCCGTCAACATCTAGCCAAGTTTAAAAAGGCTGTTCAGCTAAAGGCATAGATTATTACAGTGTATCAATGTGATAACTGTGGAAACTAACATTTACTGAATTATGTATTCAAGTATTACAAAAATGTATTTTATTATATTTTGTAGGTGCTTATTGGTCAGATGTACGGTGAGGGTAATTTAGTAATAGAAAGCATACCCAAGACGGTATGACCAGTCAGTGTGGCGAGTCTGTGAGGGGATCAATATCCATATCCAAGAACAGAACTACAACATAGTATACTCATCATGTGTAACTGTCACCGCCATGTAACAGTCTTGGATGGAGATGCAAACATGTTTGAAATCCAAAGCAGGAAGTTGAAGATCTTTAAGCTTTGTGTTTTTGACAAGATATTGTGAAAACAGTGTGAACCAGTCTTCACTTCAACCTTTAAGATCTGTGTAATTTGTATTTTTTTTGAGGTGTCTGATGTATGAACAGAATATTATTTATCAACTTTTCCACAATACAACTTTTTGAAGGTTATTAAGGAATATGTACATTGAGTATATTAATTAACTAAATTTCACAATCCATACATCTTGTAGTCATAATAAAATCCATAATGTACATGTAATAATACTTTATGAGGTTCTAATTGGCCTGACTAGTGTGGTTCTTAATGTAACAATATATACATGCTTGAATTTGACGACAAGAAATCAGAAAAATTAAAGGATCAAATGTTTTTGGCAAAAAAACTCTTTAAGAAACTTGTCAGCAAATTTATAAGATCCATCAACTTCTAGCCAAGTTCATGAAAGGTTTTATAACTGGAGGCATACATTGTTACAGTGTATTAATATTCTTACCATGTCAATAACAAAAGTAATTCAGATGAAAGGGGAGATAATAAGGGTATTATTCACTTATGATGTAGCAATGATTAAAACTGTTCCACTGATCACTTCCTGATATGCTAATGTTGTGTGTATCATGCATTTATTACAATCTTTTTATTCCCATTTTCATTTCAAATTCAGATGTATCTTTTTCTGCTTGTGATAATGTTGTGCATGTGACTAAACAATCCAACATCAGACTTTATGTCGGATGAGGGTCATTTGCATACATACAAATAAAAGTTAAGGAAAATATGTCCAGTGTTGAGTTAACTTTATTTGTAGACACTGGTCCCACTTTACTGATCTCCTATAAAAGGACATTGGCCTCCTTGGTTTATTTCCAGTAAATCATCTCTATTTATATAGACACTGTGTCGGTGTGTCCCATAGTTTATCTGCAATGAACGTTTCCAGGTTCACTTAAGTTTATCACTAATAAACATTTCTAGACTTACACCTCTTTGATTTCTCCAATAATCATTTCTAGACACTGACCACCATTGGTTTGTCTTCAGAGAATTTTTCTAGACACTGACCACCCATGGTTTGTCTTCAGTAACCTTCTCTAGACACTGACCACCCATGGTTTGTCTTCAGTAATTTTCTCTAGACACTGACCACCCTTGGTTTGTCTTCAGTAACCTCTATACACTGACCACCCTTGGTTTGTCTTCAGTAACCTTCTCTAGACACTCACCACCCTTGGTTTGTCTTTTGCAATTTTCTCTAGACACTGACCACCCTTAGTTTGTCTTCAGTAAACTTTTCTAGACACTGACCACCCATGGTTTGTCTTCAGTAACCTTCTCTAGACACTCGCCACCCTTGGTTTGTCTTTTGCAATTTTCTCTAGACACTGACCACCCTTAGTTTGTCTTCAGTAAACTTTACTAGACACTGACCACCCATGGTTTGTCTTCAGTAAACTTTTCTATGCATTGACCACCCTTGGTTTGTCTTCAGTAAACTTTTCTAGACACTGACCACAAACTTTTCTAGACACTGACCACCCTTGGTTTGTCTTAAGAAACCTTCTCTACACACTGACCACCCATGGTTTGTCTTCAGTAAACTTTTCTAGGCACTAACCACCCTTGGTTTGTCCTCAGTAAAGTTTTCTAGACACTGACCCCACTTGGTTTGTCCTCAGTAGCCTTCTCTAGACACTGACCACACTTGGTTTGTCTTCAGTAAACTTTTCTAGCTGACCACAAATTTTTCTAGACACTGACCACCCTTGGTTTGTCTTCAGTAAACTTTCCTAGACACTGACCACAAATTTTTCTAGACACTGACCACCCTTGGTTTGTCTTAAGTAACCTTCTCTACACACTGACCACCCATGGTTTGTCTTCAGTAAACTTTTCTATGCATTGACCACCCTTGGTTTGTCTTCAGTAAACTTTACTAGACACTGACCACAAACTTTTCTAGACACTGACCACCCATGGTTTGTCTTCAGTAACCTTCTCTAGACACTGACCACCCTTGGTTTGTCTTCAGTAAACTTTTCTAGGCACTAACCACCCTTGGTTTGTCCTCAGTAAAGTTTTCTAGACACTGACCACACTTGGTTTGTCCTCAGTAACCTTCTCTAGACACTGACCACCCTTGGTTTGTCCTCAGTAAAGTTTTCTAGACACTGACCCCACTTGGTTTGTCCTCAGTAGCCTTCTCTAGACACTGACCACACTTGGTTTGTCTTCAGTGAACTTTATAGACACTGACCACCCTTGGTTTGTCCTCAGTAACCTTCTCTAGACACTGACCACATTGGTTTGTCTTCAGTAAACTTTTCTAGACACTGACCACCCATGGTTTGTCTTCAGTAACCTTCTCTAGACACTGACCACCCTTGGTTTGTCCTCAGTAAACTTTTCTAGACACTGACCACCCATGGTTCGTTTTCAGTAAACTTTTCTAGACAGTGAGCACAAACATTTCTAGACACTGACCACCCTTGCTTTGTCCTCAGTAAAGTTTTCTAGACACTGACCACCCTTGGTTTGTCCTCAGTAATCTTCTCTTGACACTGACCACACTTTGTTTGTCTTCAGTAACCTTTATAGACACTGACCACCCTTGGTTTGTCCTCAGTAACCTTCTCTAGACACTTACCACACTTGGTTTGTCTTCAGTAAATCTAGACACTGACCACATTGGTTTGTCTTCAGTAAACTTTAGTTTTCTAGACTCTGACCACACTTGGTTTGTCCTCAGTAAAGTTTTCTAGACACTGACCACACTTGGTTTGTCCTCAGTAACCTTCTCTAGACACTTACCACACTTGGTTTGTCTTCAGTAAATCTTTCTAGACACTGACCACCCTTGGTTTGTCCTCAGTAACCTTCTCTAGACACTGACCACATTGGTTTGTCTTCAGTAAACTTTTCTAGACACTGACCACCCATGGTTCGTTTTCAGTAAACTTTTCTAGACACTGACCACACTTGGTTTGTCCTCAGTAACCTTCTCTAGACACTGACCACATTGGTTTGTCTTCAGTAAACTTTTCTAGACACTGACCCCCCATGGTTCGTTTTCAGTAAACTTTTCTAGACACTGACCACACTTGGTTTGTCTTCAGTAACCTTCTCTAGACACCGACCACCCATGGTTCGTTTTCAGTAAACTTTTCTAGACAGCAAGCACAAACATTTCTTGACACTGACCACCCTTGGTTTGTCCTCAGTAAAGTTTTCTAGACACTGAGCACCCTTGGTTCGTTTTCAGTAACCTTCTCTAGACACTGACCACACTTGGGGTGGCTTCAGTAAACTTTTCTAGACACTGACCACACTTGGTTTGTCCTCAGTAACCTTCTCTAGACACTGACCCCCCTTGGTTTGTCCTCAGTAAAGTTTTCTAGACACTGACCACCCTTGGTTCGTTTTCAGTAACCTTCTCTAGACACCGACCACCCATGGTTTGTCTTCAGTAAACGTTTCTAGACTCCTCATTTGCTGCATTACCAGTAAAGATTGACAATTTCTTCGATTCTCTCCAGATAAAGGCACTGACCACCCTTGGTTTGTCTTCAGTAACCTTCTTTAGACACTGACCACCCTTGGTTTGTCCTCAATAACCTTCTCTAGACACTGACCACCCTTGGTTCGTTTTCAGGAACCTTCTCTAGACACTGACCACCCTTGGGTCGTTTTCAGTAACCTTCTCTAGACACTGACCACACTTGGTTTGTCTTCGGTAAATTTTTCTAGACACTGACCACCCTTGGTTTGTCTTCAGTAACCTTCTCTAGACACTGACCACCCTTGGTTCGTTTTCAGTAACCTTCTCTAGACACTGACCACCCATGGTTTGTCTTCAGTAAACGTTTCTAGACTCCTCATTTGCTGCATTACCAGTAAAGATTGACAATTTCTTCGATTCTCTCCAGATAAAAAACATTGTATGAAAAGAGTTTATAATTGTGTGTACAAGAATGTTTGTGGTGACTGTTAAGAGCGAGTGAAACATTACTTCGCATTAGTAGTTATTTCATTTGGTCGTATGTTTTTTCAATAAAAATTCAGTAGCTTTAAATGTTACTTTCCAGACATTGCCACTGTTGTTATTCCACAATTTTCTGCATCTCTTCATAACTCTAAAATGGTCAATCAAAGCCGAACCATCTTGTACTATAATTCTGTAGAATGCAAAAAAAACAACATTTGAACCATTGAAAGTCTCCACATTTTTCCCCCATTACATGTAATCGTACGTAATGACACTGTTCTTTTAGGATGAGTTCTTGCTGGAGGTGATCATGTCTATTTAGTCTTAGACTTGCTTCAAATTTGTAGTCTCCGTCGAGTCATTTTATGCCCTCTTTAAAATCTTTCCTACTCAAGATATTTATAGTTTAAGCATGCGTACAGAGAAAATCTGTATTCTGAGTTTGTGTTACATATATTAAAAAGAAATAAAAGTAGTGTTCATGTTAAAAAAAAAAATGTGAAATTGCATGATGGTGTACATAAAAAGATGTTAATCTATCAAATCTTTTAGGAATCTTCATTTAGATAATTTGGAAGAAAGCATATATACAAGTTCTTATATTATTTGAAAGTGTAATTGATATAATTGGTATCTTCAGTATCAATAATCTAGCATGGTTTGAATATAAACAAATTTAATGTGTAATTTGTCAATTTGCCTAATGTGTTTCAGCCTTCTCATTCCAAACACGTACCAATATAAATGTATTTCAGCTGATTATTATTAATATTTGTCTTTTTATTGTTCAACGTGTCCTCATCAAATATTCTCACTGTGTACCTAGCCATCTGTTATTGTTAAAATATGTTTAAGGTCGATGATCGTGCATGTGACATTCTTTACCGGGACACACCAAAGTCCTTCAAAATAGAAGTAGTTGTTCCCTGTTTATAACGTTTAGGAATTAGGGGAGTGGCAACAACTGGTTTACCCGTTGTCAGTATAATGTAACCGGACGGAATGCTGTGCTGGGTGCCTGTGGCATAGTATTTCAATGAGATTGCACTATCAAGTCGGCATCAGATTCGCGCTATCACAAGGAGGCAAGTACACCAAGTCTCCCACAACACACATGGAGGCACGTCCTTAAATGACATTATCTGTAAATAGGACGTTAAACAAAACTAAACCAAACCAAACCAAATATATACCAAAGTACTAGTACATGTGCATGGCACTCAACAAATAATTGAAACAATATGTTCCAGAAAATTACAGCTTCAAATGGTAACCAATCAGAATTGGGAAACGTTGACTGGTAACCAATCAGAATTGGGAAACGTTGACTGGTAACCAATCAGAATTGGGAAACGTTGACTGGGACGCCAGTTTGATGAGAACTTAAACAGAATTGTATAACTCAGAAAATTATGAAAGTGTCGGACAAGTAGACGATACTTTTTGCCTGGCTTTGTACAAAAAATACCCACCTTTTTACAGATTTCAGGAATGTATGATGTGCTCTGGTTATCTGACATTCTGTTTTGTCCCAAAGAACAATATTAATATAACTGTATTGTTTGCTCAGCTATTAACTATATGGTCTTTCTACAACTCGATATGGTTTGAGCTCAATTATCATATTTTTTACGCTCAACGAGTCCTAACATTGTACGTTAAATACATGTTTCAACTTATAAGTGTAATCGAATGTGAAACCCCCAATGAACCCGTGGCCTGATCTTGGGGTTGTATGTAACCATGGACTTTGTGGCCTAAATCTGTGCTATGTAGCCTGTTCAGAAGTATTTATTACTCAA